AGCTCTTCACAAGCTAGAGGAGCAAGCTGTGCAGTGTATCTGAACAACAGTGTCACAGGGCTAAATGTTTAGCCATCAACAAGATGATGGCACCAGCTCTGTGTCAGCACAGATCACTTATAAGTCACTGCACTTTTGCACTGTTACAACCCACAAATTGCTTCTGTCAATTCTTTCAGCTTTACTATATTGCTGCTCTTGGTTATATATTGGAATTTTTTTTCTATATTCCTTGTATCATGTATAGTAACATTGCTCTCTTCTGCTGCTCGCCATCCTGATAAAATCATTCTGTGGGGGTTTTTCCTGCTATGATTCCAGAGGTAGAATTATCAAAGCTCAGACCCTCATCAATCACAAAAGATCTCTAAATGTAAGAATTATAGGTTGCCAAAACCCCAAAAGGCAAGCTATGTGAAACACCTACAGTAACTAAATATGTCCTGAGCAACATAACAACTCAACATACTGGAGCTATAAGAGAATAGTGGACTAAAATTACCTATGTCTTGGGCATTTACACTATATAGGATACCACCTTCTGCTTAACAGCATGCCTGAATGAGCATGATGCATGAACCTAACTCCCAAAATCAAAAATCAATGATGTGCTCTTGACCAAATGTTTCTTATTTCAATGCTGCTTGGGGGCAAATTGATTAACTGCTCTCACTTTTTCTTGGAAGGGCCTTTGACAAGTGCAGGTTGTTGGGAATGGCCACCTTTTTCAACCGAGTTGCCACGGCGACAGCTCTGCTCTCCCGAGGCGGGGGAGGAGGAATCTGACTGGACGGCTTCACAAACCACCTGGAAGCCCTGTGGGTAGATGGATAAATGCTGTTGGTAATGCAGAGAGACAGACAGCTCCTAATAATTCAAGGCTCTGAGATTGGAGTGAGGTTTCTATCATAACCCTGGCCAACCACGCTGATGCTACCGGATGACCAGTGTTAATGAATATTAGCAGCCAGCCCCAGAGGAAATAAAGGGGAAGAAGCCTCTTACATTCAGTCAACATGGGAAGCAAAATCTGATGAGATCTGAGCTAAAAGTGTTCACTCACCACGGGACCTGGGTTGCCCGATCCACAGGGGCTGCACTGGTTGTTGACTGGGGAGTTCCTCTTTGCTGTTGAAACAGGCGTAGCATATTGTATGTCTTAATTACATGTCAAACACTTAAAAGAAATCTGGGGCAGGCTGTCACTGATGATTCTTTCTGCAGTCCTGACTGCTCACTGGAGACAGTTCCTGTACTCTTTGTCAAGTGTGGAGAGCTGGGGGTAAGGGAGGTGATCGCTGGGGGGCAGCTGCCGGTTATAGGTCTGAAGTGAGGTGAGCAAGTGGTGTGGAGTTCTGCTTTTCAGAACTACAGTAACACACATTCTGCCCCCAATATATATGGATGAGAGGGTGGATTTTTTTTTTCACCTGTCACAACCCCCTGCCATATTACCAAACCACTGGCCAACCGGAAGGTCAGGTCCGACTCCTGATAAAAGAAAAGTGACCTATTTAGAATATCATTTATAGCAGTTTAGTACATTTAACCTTTTCCTCAACTCTTCAATGATCACCTGTCTGAAGCAAGAAATCAACATTTCTGACTTCAGGATTCTTTCAAAGACTGCTGCTATTACAGTACAATTGTTTACACTATACAGCATGGTACTAAGATACAGTATAATATAAAGATTCTATTGTTCAGTTGGGTGCAAAACCTTGAGTACTGTAACCCGACTCTTGTGTCTGTTTGTACAAATATTGTAAATCAGTAGTCAAAGGATCTTGAAGTGTAAAGGTGAGATATGAGGTTCTAGCTTGTGAGCCAGTTGAGATTATAGTTTGGAATTAATTTAAATAAAACTAATGTTTGATATCTTGATATTCTGTTTCAAGTACCATAAGACACAAACCTTTATCCGATGAATAAGTGGAGCAAACAAGAACACAAATAGTTCTATGGTGGCCATGCTCTTGTGGAACAGCTTGGTACGAGCATGCTCATCCTCCTCCAGCAAGGAACTGCTGTGCTGGGGCCCCGACCCATCTAGGGCTGAGCCGGAACAGGAGCCAGGAGCTCCTGGTGAGGAACCCTGATTCCCCACAGGTTGAAGGAAGGCACTGCTGCTGCTGCCCCCAGACCAGCCATGGCTCAGGCTGGGCTCATGGTTGCACTCCTGGGCAGCCTCCAGCAGCATCCAGTGCAGCGTGTGGAGCAGCTTGGTCTCAGCCACACCCAGCTTGTCCTGGTGGCCTTTTGAAGGTAAAAAGTCAGGGGCAATGATGGGTGGATGGGTTTCAGTGCATCACTAGAGGTTTATTATACTTGATAACTTCAGGTTGTTCACTTTAGTTAAAAGGATCCCATGGCTTCTCTAATGTGAATGTGTAGTCCAATTCTGATGACATTGTGACTGACAAGACTTTCACCATGATCCAACAGCAAAAACTAAGAACTATGCAAAGTTAATATCTTAATCAACTGTCAGATAATCAATGAATCATTCATTTTATTTTCAGGATAAAATGCTAAACATTACCCAGGTCCAGCTACTCAAATATGCATATCTTACTATCGTTCAGGCAAAGCAAGACATCAACATGAGCTTTAGGAACATATGTGGGTGCCTTTTCATTTTATTTTGACATTTTACAGACCAAACAATTTATCAATCCTTACAATAATAAATGAAATCATCATTTATCAATAACACTAAACCAAAGCACATTTTTCTAATTATCATTGCTTTCGTAAATGTTAAATTCTATCATATATACTGTACCTCCCTGTGTATGTTGGTGCCAATAAGATCCAGAAGAACACATTTCTTTCAAATAAACATGTTTTCTTAGCATATTAATCCACAACCGTGATGAACAGTAAAGTCAGGACATTCTATGTCTGTTCTGTGACTAAAAGAACATCACTTAATGTTTTGCTGAATAACGATAACCTGGATAACGCTCAAGTCAATGCCTAAAGCTGTAGCAGAGTGTGTCCTACATGTCCTCACCCAGCTTGTTCCTGTTCGACAGCAGGATAGAGGTGCAATGGAGTACATGAGGCAGGGCTGCCTGGACAAGCTCCCAGCGGGAGATGCTCTGGATGGCCTCTGACAAGGCTGGCGACAGCCCGTGGAGCTTGTTCTCCACCAGCACACGCTCAAAGGACTGGGAAGCAGTCAGAGAAAATAAGAGAGACATCAGGCCTGAACTAAGGCCCATTTCTTTGAGCATTTAAATGTCCCTTATGGCCCCAAGCAAGGCAGTGCTTGTGGGAGACAGTGGCTGCTCTGTTTAGACCCAGGGGGATCTGGAGAAGCGCCATTATGGATATGAGTGTCTAAAGGTCTGGCTCATGGGTAATCAGAGGAAACAAGGGGTAAAACTAATTTGCTAAATGTAAAATCAAGAGCCCACTTGATTTGCAGGTGCATTACAGTAAAAACGGATTACTATGGAGGGAGCAATTGTTTCCCCATCAACACACATGGCATTATGAAATGACTTACCACGCAAGATGCTTCATACTGTTTTCCCAACTTTGGACGCAGAAAGGCACTGAAAAACACGGGATTAAAAAATGCTGGTTGTGTTATTAAATCTTCAATGTCAAATTATAGTGTAAATAATAAAACTGTACAAGATATTTGTACAAACCTGGGCGGTTCTTTTACTGTAGTTAATGTACAGATCATTTCTTTTCTTTGACCCACTTTCTATGTACATTTACTACTACCTTACATGTCTATGTACATCATACCAAATCTTCATCCCTCTCCATTCACAGTTATTTAACACGCTGCAAAAACACGCAGTCCACCTTCCAACATCCACTGACACCAGTGAATTGACAGTCACCACTGACACAAGGTTTCCCATTTAAATTATAATAAGGAAATCCATCCAGAGTTTAGAACTGGGTGAAATTATGGCGCCTTTTCGTGTTTGCCACGGTTGCTGTCAAATCCTTGAGCCTCCTTATATTCACCAATGACAAACACCTGTTATCCATGTCCACAGAAGCACTAACCTCGTTTGCCTCCATAGGAAGGTCTGGATGGGGAACGGTATTCCCTTTCCGCACTCCTGCTCGTTATCGTCCAGGCTTTTCCTCTTCACCATTTTGGCCGGACCTGCCTGCCCGCCCGTATGCGACCACCGGGACGCGCGGTGGCTGCTGGCTCTGCCCAGGTGCTTCCTTCACGACATGATTGGGTTCGTCCGGCGTAAAATGGCTGCAAGTGTTGGTCGCCTGCGAGAGAGAGAGAGAAAGAGAGAGGGAGACAGAGAGAGAGAGGGAAAAGGATAGAACAGGAGGGTGGGTGGGGGAGCCAGAGAAGGAGAGCGCTCTGATTTCCGCACCTCCCTCACCGGACAACGACTGTTGATCGGTGTGCTAATTTATCTGCGGCGGAGCTTAAAGACGCAGTGTGCATCTGGGCCAGATGTTTTCCCTGTCAATCCTCTGAGGATTTCAGGAAATGTCACAGAAACACTGTATATGACTAAAGCACAGACTGCTGTGAACACACATTGGATTGCAGGCGGATGATGCAGTCACCCCCCCACTGAATATCAAAAGGTTGTTTAATAACCCTGCTGGACAACCTGTAAGAGAGGATACTGAAAGGATTTCTCTTATTACATGAATGTAGCGGCCACACTATAAAATAGGCCTATAACATTTCAGTACCAAGTATCAAATGTAAAAGTCACCATTTAGCAAAATATTCCTTTCAGCTAGATAAATACACACACTGTACACAGGTGGAATGAGCCACCACTATAAAGAGGTAAGCTACTACAATTCCAGTTACATGTGGACATCTATAGGACTGAAAAATAACATGTTAAACTTATAAAAGTATAAAACATTATAAATTATAGGAACATTATAGTGAAAAATATGAGTGAGCACAAAGAAATGTGCTTTCCCTTAATACACCCATAGTTCAGACCAGCTAACTGTTTTGTACTAAGGAAGGTAAATTAATGGGATACTCTGTAGGAAATAGCATAGTTAAAAATTCTAATAATTAAATACACCATTTCATTTGCAGATAAATATTTATAAAAATGTATTAGTACATCCCCAATTTCATATATATATGCCGTTATGTCAAAAACATGTTCTTTACAATACAAGAAGGGTTAATTGAAAGAGATTCTATACACACCAGCCATACAATTAACATACACTTTCTCTGTATTGAGCTAAAGTATGATGTAAATAAATTAATTGCAATATTTTCCAATAATACATACCAGAAGCTGGAGTGAACCAGTTTTTATTTTCTTTATTTCTGTTGTCATCATCCTCTAGGAGCATTTGTCATCAGTATGTCTCAAACATCATAAAGTATGAACACACATCTACATGGTATTTTAAATACACTTACACAGGCAAAGAGGGGCAAGAATATAGGAAGCACAGAAAAAACACTGGTGGGGTAGCTGACACTGGAGGAGGAAGAGGAGAGGGAGGACAGAGGAGTTTCACAATGATAAGCAGAGAATATGCAAAAAGAGTTTATTCTTTTTTAAAATGAATTCTAAGCGCTGCAAGCTGAGGGTTACTCCCATTCTTTGTCTTTGTCCTTTCTGCTTTCATTTCCTGTAAAGTTACTGGTTCAGTTGCACAAAAGGGCCAAATAGCTGCTCTTTTATAGGGAATGTTTTCATATAAAGCTTCATAATAATAAAGGATTTTGTATTTCCATAAGTGGGGTAAAACTATGGAACAGTTTAAGTGTAGACATAAAAAATAGTAATAGAATTGACGAGTTTAAACATAAATATAAAGGTATGTGTCAATCAAGATATATGCAAGAACAGGTTTAATGATTAATTAGATGGAACATTGTGGGTGTGGTGTATGAATGTTAACACTTTGTAATAATTCTTTAGTATATTACTTGTGTGGTGTAGAAGATAAGTATTTAAGAATGTAATTATGTATGAATGTTAACACTCTGTTATAATTCTTTAGTATATTACTTGTGTGGTGTAGAAGAGAATTATTTACTGCTTGCAAACCAATGATGGTAAGATGATGTCATGGGGTAGGACTGGGTAAATCTGACTTCTTCCTACTCCATTCAAGCATGTACTAGGTATAAGCAAATTGATATTGGATTATGTGTAAAATTATGTGTGTTGTCATATCAACTGGTTTTACATGCTTGAAAGAATAAATCAAATCAAATCAAATAATTTCTGCTTTAACAACTTTTGGGCCTTTTGCCCTTTCAAATACATTGTACAACCCAGTCTTTGCAAAAGAAGACAAGTCACACGAGCACGAGGAGCCTTTTTTGGACCTGACCTTGAAACACAGACATTAGAAAGCAGCCCGGCCATTTATAATAACTCTGAAAAGTTAAAGATTGCTCCAAATAGTTCTAACTTATTTATCATTTATTTGCCATGCCTGCATAACAGCAGTGTTGTAGCCTAATAAATCCACAGAGCTAAAACCAAGGAAAAAAGAGCAGCACATTGGTTTGCAGAAAAGAAATAAAAAATTATATTGGAAAGCCAGTTTTTTAGCACTTGACTCCATTAACGCATTGGTAATCTACACTGAAGTGTCAATAAGCCAGTGCGGCCACAGGGAACATACAAAACTAACAGCGTCCACTATGATGACATATAAAACAAGAAAACAATGAGAAAACAACATGTCCAACAATCCAGCAATGTCCAGCAATATCAAGAAGCAACATTAAAATCCAAACAATGGGAAAAAAAAATCCTGTTATTTGACACTAAATGTCACATTTTAGCCGACATGCTCATCAGCCATTCTTTTGCAGGAACAGTTGCGTACCATGTTTGTATAAGTTAAGTCTCTCACACCGGTGTACCTTTAAGACTAGCATCTAGTATCAGGTTGCTATATCTTCAATTCAGTACCATATAAATTCTGAATGGACATGAATCATGAATTCACCTTGAAGTTATCCCCACAGTGGAGGAATGTGATGCTTTTCATGACAGAAATTACTATACAATCATAAAAGCCACAACGTCTTCTTAGACAAACACATCCAGTCAAACATTAGTATTTAGCCTATCTAAAACAAAACAAAAAGGTCCATGTTCAAGTGAATGAAAAGCAGATAGAGGGACTAGGCATGTCCCTTTCAGGGAGCAAATGAAGCATAATTTTAGAATTCAATTTCTAAAATCCTACTGGAAGGGCTGTAAGGGTAGTCCGTCAACTAGGACTGTAGAACCTGTGTGGGGGTTGGTTTGCAGTGAAGGACTTTGGGAGAACACTGGATGCTTATGAGTGAGTAAGACTGATGGGAAGAAAGTAATGGTGGATCTTTTTGAGGTTCTCCACATAGCCAGCTCATAAGCCTTGCTTGGCCAGGGCAGCAGTGACATCCTGGGCCAGCGTGGAGAGCTGGGGTGACTCCAGAAGGTTGATACTACCGGCCGAGGACAGACGAGGAGAAGTGCCTCCTGTCTCCACCCCGGGAGAGTGAGTGATGATGATTTCTGCCCCATGGTCCACCCGGGCTTTGGCTGTTTCCCGGAAGGTCAGTTTGTGGCTCTCAATCTGACAAAACAAACAAACAAAATGTTTACATCAGGAGTGTCCTTTATTTTTTTTTTTACAAAAACCAGCAGTGACAGAGCCTCTGTGTGCTTCTTCTTACCATAACGTTGCCCCCTCCAGGAGTGTGGCTGGCATTGTCCAGGGAGCCGACCTTGGCATGTGCCTTGTCTTTAAAGTCCAGCTTCACATTCTCAATTCGCACATTGCCTCCCCCTGGGAACAGGGCAGCATGGAGGAGAAGAAAACCATCAAACCTACAGGGCATCACTCACCTACAAGCCAGCATTACTCCTGAGCACCGCTCAGGGCAAAGGATCTGCACACTTCAGTACACTGTCCGCCACACAGCAACCTCTTCCTAACTTGCTTAATACTGTACATATAATATCATATAGGGCTGGGTGTTATGGCCAAAATTATTATTCCTATGTTAATAAAAATATGTCCCTATACTAGCATATCACAGCATGGCAAAAATGTGTAAAATCAAATATAAAATAGATAAACTGGCACTCAAAGCAGTGAACTGCCTCATTGTTGTGTACTGAATGGAGCCAAACTCTTAATATATGCAAAACAAAAACTGTAGCTACAAGTTGTAGCTTGTTAGCAGTCATTAGTTTGGACAACAGAAATGGGCCAAACAGTAATTTAAGATTGTTATATGGGTGTATGTGGACATATTTCTGAAATATCATCCACCCCGATCATATGCATAAACTCTGCAGTCTAGTCAATAATTTTCTGTCGACATCAAAAGCCACAGATAAGACAAAAGATGCCTATGACTTTTTAACCTCTAGTATTACATCTCTTCCATTTCTCATAAGTTTTAATGCTGTGGTCTAAATGCCAAATAAACCAAGTTAAATGAGCTTATAAGGTTGTTTGTACTAATATGTTGCAGGTGAAAACAAGCTTATTTTAATATGTGGCATACATTAGCCTAAGATCAAATTTTCTTTCACTTTCAATTACATCCTTCCATAAGGAGCTCCATGAGCACAATCATATGCATATGAGCAACAAAAACAACATTTGCTGGGAACTAGTGGACCAGTAAAATCAATTACAAGAACAATAACAGTGCCATATGTTCTAGGTTCACTTGTGTATGAAGAAGACTACAGCACAAGTTTTGCTTTATCAAAACCAAAAACATGCACCTCTGGCTGTAGAGTACCTGCTCTATGGTGAATGTTGGACATAGATCCACATTTAGCAGTCACGTGACTCAAGTCCATCTTCTTGGTCTGGATTTGGACCTGCAGAGAGCAGCACAGTGCACACATTAACCTATGCTTACTCGAGAAACACACTGTGAAAAATGCTTTTTTTTTTTTTTTTACAAACATCTTGGAAAGATGGAAGTTAAAGTAACTGACATGAAATGAAGTGAATGCGGAGATGTTTCTGATGGAAAAACAAGAAAGGTTTAGTCAGCCATGAGATGACAACATGAATCTACAGATGATGGCAGATTGAAATGATCAATGCTCGTCCACACAAGAGACAAAGATGCTGATGTTGGTCCCCTGGAGAGAGGTTAATATGAAAGCAAGTGGAATACAGGTACTACAGCAACTTTACTGTCCATGGGTGATATGAATTAGTGCAACTGCGATCACTGTTAAAAAGGTATGGTGAAAACCCTGCATGCTATTAAGGGGTGTTTATGTTAACATTTTAGATATTATATGTTGGGCCCCAGGCAAATATTAAAATGATGGTTTTGGTGCATATGCTTGTGGAAAATGAAGTTTTGGGGCACAAAACAGAGTTAATAAAGATGAAAACACTCCACAAATACAGTTCATAAACACATATGCCTACACTGTGCAGATGTATTAAAACAAGATTTAAGAGTGTTTTTTTATGTTCATGTATGGATGGTTTTTGGCAGCATCACTCACATTTCCCCCGCCTGCTGTGTACTGGATTTTGTCCAGGGAGCCACATTTAGCCTGAACGTGGCTAAAGTCCAGTTTAACACTTGGAATCATGACCTGGGAATGACAGGGTGACTTTTTTACATAAACAAACAGTGCACACCTAGGGCTTTCTAAAACGGGTAGTAAGGGGGAGACCCAACTGGAATAATCCTGTAAAAGTGTCCCAATTATAATTCCACAAAATATCAATATGCAGCACTCACTAACACTAGGGCTTAGCTGATCTAGAGCACAGAACACAACACACAGGTTTTTACTGATGGAGGTTAATTTTTATGCAGGAATGAAGGCGTTTATCAGAGTGAAGAAGCTGCACTTGTAGTGCTGTAATCACTGAGTCTTCAACTTGTCCCTATTTTAAACAGAGTTGTTTTAGCAGCCTGAAGCACATCTGAAAGAGTTTAATTTTTAAGTACTAAAGGGGGGTGGAATCACAATTTAAAAACAAAAAATATTACTAAAGAGGGAAATAGTGTACTTTACTTCTTCTTTGACAAAAAAGGTACCATGTAATGGACTTTGAAAGCAAGCCCTCTTTTACTTGATTAAAACAAGCCAATGGCAGACAAATGGCAGATGGGTGGACAGATGAACACATAAAGGTAGCATGGGAGAGCGCTGCAACAGCCCCAGCTGTAAGGAGAAGGAAGAGAAAGAAAAAGAAAGGCGTACATATATTGCCTCCTTTGGGCATGTGCTTCAGATTATCCTTGGAGCCACACTTTGACTGAACATGACTGAAGTCCAGCTTCTCACTTAAAATCTGAACCTAAAACAAAATTGAATCAAAAAAAAAAAAGCAAGCACTATATGTGCCTAGTTTAATAACGCCAAGTGTATGATGAGTGATCAGTGTGTCTTCAGATACATGTACATTTAATGTGTTTAGATTTGCAGTGCTTTCCTTTGTGCTACTGTACAGAGCTGTGAGAACAGAAATTACTCTGGGAGGGATTTTATCTCCCTTTTGCTCATTTAGTAATGTCAGCTTCCCTTTTAATGCAGTCTTTGCCACTCCACAGGGAGTAGGGGGGAGTAACTACTGCACGAGCAAATACACTTGTGATTGGCCTGACACATGATAAACCGGTATCAAAACAACTGCAGATGAATGTCAGTTAAATAAGTGACATTTTGCTGCTGATCTAAACAAAATGCCACCAAAACACTGATACGACAGCATTTCCATGCACAAACAATGCTTTTCTATAAGTGAAAGCAAATGTAACCACACAGGAAAATTGTGTTATCTATGTTAAAATAAAATGATATTTAGAGATTAATTAATTTTAGGTATGACATAAAATGCCATGTTAACATATAAAATCTATTTATTTACATATTCATTTAAAAGATTCAAACATCAGCTCTTTAGTATGACATTAGAGGATGCACATTGATCGCACCGGTATTCTACAAAGTCTGCTGTGCTGCTCCTCCAAGCCGTGTGTCACCCAGCTTCATTAAAAATTTCTGCCCCATGTCACATTTCTCCTCAAAGAGGAAGGAAGAGCTGGCAATAGGACAATGAACTGCCTCCTCCTTCGTATTTCACAGGGGTTAATGAAAAGTCTCACTTCTGTAATACTCAAGGAACATTAACATTGTCTGTTGCCTTGGTTATGTGATTAAAAATTCACAGGCTATTAGTCAACCACACATCTGTTACACCCCGACGACAAATAGGAAAGGGCTTTGTCTCCTTGGTGAACATGTTACCCATGCATTCTTTAATTTTAATCTAGCGTATAACAGTGCATTAATCATTATTAATAGAGGAAAACAACATGTCTTGAACAGGAAAAAGCTAAGTTGAAGGCCCTTTTCTTTCCTTTCATGTAAGGCTGAGGTAACATTATTCATTGATGATTCTGGCGAACTTGAGCATCTGAATCAGTTAAAACTAGGCCACCTTTATCAAGTGATCCTCTTTGGTTCAAGAGAGACAGATCACTAAATTAGGCTCCTGCTGGGGTTCTAGCAAGTGACTGTTCTGTTTGAAAAAGTGAAGTGAGGTGTTTGAAGTGCAACTTCTTAAAAAGTAATTCCACACCCTTACAATTATTAATAGTCACTGCTGCAAGGCAATGACGAAAGCCACTCCCCAGGGGAAATGATTCTGCAGGTTGACCGCTCCTTGAAGGCAGTGCAGGGATTCTTAGGAGGATAGTTGTTTTAAATGTCATTATTTTAGCAATGACAACACATGATGCTTGTGGTACAGCTGTAGCTTTTTCAATAAGGAGAAAATTGGGAAAAGGTAGGGAGAAAAGAAGACAGAGGGAAAGTCAGGAGAAGAGGCCAAAGGCAGCGGATGATGTTTCATCCAGAGTGACGGAGATGAACACGGACAGGGAAGGCCAGAGAACAGTCAGAGGAAGCAGACACACAGTGATGGTACGACAGGGGTTCAGAGGCCAGTCAGATGGAGTGAGGATGGCAAGAGAGATATCTGAGCATTTCACAACATTTCTCCAACTCAAAGAAGGAAAGAGAAAACATATGTAATAGATAATAATATATGATTTGCAGTGGAGTCACAAATCCACTAGAAACAATATCCAGTGCCAACAACTTATCAGAGATTTAAAAATGTCTTCAAGGTTTAAGATACATACTGTAAGTCACTAATCCTTCCTGTTTTGTTATGTAGTGGTCCTTTTGTCTCCTCATGTGTATATCTTTTTATCTTTTAACAGCACACTGTACTGTATTTTGTGTGTATGCATGTGTTTTTTAAATGTTCACGTTGTAGAACTACAATAAACCAAGGTTTAAAGTGCAAATATTTAGTCTGAGAAATAATATATTTTATTAGAAGTTCATTCTAAAATTATGGCAAATTGTTGCTTGATTAGTGGTAAATAGTAAAGTTCATAATAAACTTACTATGCAGTCTTTTTAGTCTTTTTTAAGTAGGACATAACTTAGACCTTTCCTACCCCATGTGATAGAAAAAGGTAACTGCTGAAATTTGAATTTCATTTTCAAGGTTTTTAGGACTTCATTACACCAAAATCATGAAACAGATGTTAGTAAAAAACTAATCAAATTATGATGTCAGTCCTGTTACCTGTCCACCTTTTGGCTGATGCTTGATGTTGGAGGTGGACCCAATCTTGGACTTTACATTCTTCAAGTCAGGCAGGGGCTGATTGACAACCTTCAGCTGCCGCTGGACAGAGGATGGAGACTTGGGCGGGGTTCGGATCACCGCCACCTTCTTCTCCTGGAGGACGCTGAAGGACTTAGGTGTGTGGCTTCCAGGTGTCCGTGAGCCGGGTGTGCGGCAGGAGTAGCTTGGGGGTGTGCCGGGTGTAATGGCGCCAGGGGTGGAGGCACCACTACGGACTGATCGGGAACGTGCAGAGTCTGTACCTAGGAGGCAGGAGAGGTTGTATTATGATAAGAAGAGGAAGATAGAAGGAAGAATAAGAAAAACTAATCCTGGAAGGTAGGAGAAAAGAAAAAGAGAGAGAACATCACCTCAAAGAGGAAAGAAGGAGAAGAAATATGAAAAACAGAGGCAGATACAAAAGACAATAGATGAACTGGTGTGTGTGTGTGAGAGATCCTTCATCTGGTTATGATGATGATGATGATAAGGAAACATAAGACTCATGGGGCTGTGAGCACTGCACTGTTGGTGTCAAATGGGCTCAATTTGCACAAAACAAACAGCCCAGGTCAAACAAACATGCCTCACAAGACCTGTGAAAGCAAACATATGCAACCGAACTCATTTCACGCCAACAGCTTGTTGCTGGGTTACTGGTACAGGACCAACAGGATTTTAGCTGACAACATCCTGGATAAGAACAGGAAGCAGCAACCTGTTGTTATGGACCCTACTCATTCCCCTAATAAGGTAACTGCAGGTTTGACAAAGTGAACACACTGTAAAAATGTTTTAATTCAATTTGTATTAAAGTAGGACACATTCAGGGACAAAATAAATAAGCTTACAAATTCACCTTCTTTCTTACTGGACAAAGTCTGTTAACTGAAAATAGAAAATGGAGACAGACTCTGCAAGTCAGGCCTGTTTTGCAATTTGTGTGTTAAGAGGGGAATCCAGTGTGAGAAGACTTAAATTATAAATCATTTTATTTTAAGATTTTCTGAAAACTGCAGACACCCTTTAGAAAAATGTGTGAGCAAGATGAATGATTTAATCATCTGACAGTGGATGATGCTCACTTGTATACAAAATAGAATTATTAATTAACAAAATAATACAAAATAAAAATGCTATGTACTAACAACTAGATGTCACATGTTGATGAGGAGGGTCTACCAGGAGCTACAGGGTGGTCTACCTGCCATACTAGGGGCTCTTCCAGACCTGCTGTCCGCTCTGGACTCGGTACGGATCACTTTGAGAGAGGGGAGAGGTTAAGGCAAATGCAGGTGAAAGGAAATAGGGGCAGAGAGGAGCAGGGCAGGGTGTGGAGCACAGCGTGAGTTAAAATTAATAAAATGATCAAACGTTAGGAGAGTTAATAAAGTTAGTAAAGAGGAAATCTGCTGTGCAGGAAGGTTCTATATTGTATACACAGTATATTCTCTGGGCTGCGGTATGCTTTCTCCTGAGTTAACACACACACACACACACACACACACACACACCAAAGAGTCAATAACCGGGCTTCATCAAATGCTTGTAGCTACCTATCAACCCCTGCTCTCCTTTCACTTTACCTTCTCTGCCCATTTGTTTGGCAGAGGGGATGAGCGGGAGCATGCTGAGGAGGGGCGGGCCGTGCTGAGCTCTGCCTCCACCAAGGGGCTCCATTTAAGGCTACAGGCAGAGCCGGGGCGGGGGGGCTGTTGATCTGACCCCCGACGCTGCACTGCCATCTTTAACAGAACAGCCCTCATGGGGCTCTGGACCGTAGCCATGACATGAACGAGGAAGGCATGCAGGATAGATGGAAGTGCAGGCAGAGGTGCCAAACAGAGAAATGAAGAGGGATGGGATGGAGCTGAGATAAAATATGGTTCAGGCAGAACCACACTACGTTAATAGCACAAACTTCATGCTACTTTGGTGAACAACAAATACTGGATGAGTCATGCTGTTGATTATGTGATTTTCTTTTAAGAATGGAAAACTTGGACCTTTTGGAGGACAGAAATTTCTGTATTTTAAAGGATATAAAACAACAAAGGCAAGGAGTAAGGAGCTGACTATAAAAAAGAAAAGGTTTTGAGGTGAAATGTTGGGGTTACTCTGTATGAAACATAATTTGGTTGAGCCCCTATACTGCATATACTAAGCAGTTTATTTTATTGTAAAATGTACACCTATAAGTACATTTCTACTCTAATTCGATTTTCTTTACTCACAAATGTTCTCTGTTGACACTGGTAGAGACAGGGATAGAGGCAGGCATGCAAGACAAAATGAATATGTACACAGAAAAATAAAAAGCCGCAAATGCAAACATGCAGAAAAGAAGAAAGGAAGAAAATACCAAGCTTGTCATGTAATCAACAGGCCCCATGATGCAATGCAGAGTGTGGTGTGGTCAAACATACTGAGAGACAAACACGACACCTGTTTGCAACAACACAGTACTCCTTAAAATGATGGAATGTCAGTGAACTTGACCTGTGTACTGCAAAGACAACTCAATGCCCTGTCATCAACTTGTGTCTTTTATTTTAATTTTTATTTATATACCAACCTAAAATTCTATACTGAAAGATGAAGATGACTTACAGTGGTCCTCTCCCTGGACTGGTGGGCCACACTGAGGGGCTGATGGCTTTCTAAACCTGAAAAAAAAAAAAGAGTCCTGTTGTAATGATTAGCATAAACCTGCAGGGGGAGACATTTGCGAGTTGAACATGAAAGCTGACAGCTCCAAAAAAAAAAAAAAAAAAAAACCCATGTACACACAATCCTATACAGTATGACTCTGAATTACCAGTCCAAATGTTAACTTCTGACATGAGCAAAGGGCATTTTCTGGGGTTTTGACAACAGGCACGTGACACAGATCAAATACTGATACCTCATAAAACTCAGAATAACACTTTTGTCAGTCTTGATTTGTGTTCATAGATTTTTTTCCAACCAAGTGACCAAATAATTTTGAAGCCATTTCCAAATCACATAGAAAAGTGAGACACAAAACCCAAAATAGCTGTTCCTCATAAAAAAAGTACATGTCATTAAAAACAACTCACAAGCAGCAGCAGCAGCAGCTAGCAGAAATACACATGGATATGAAGCCAAACAGCTGAAAATAAACACTTTTAACTAGGAGAAAATGAAAAAGTGTCATCAAATGGAAAAAAACACAACATATGTGGTGATTTGGTGATATGGGTCAGCAGCACACAATGTTTGCCAGCTACATTGCACCTACTAAATTTCTGAGCCATCAATAGAGAGAGCCAACATTTTTATTAGCTGTTAGCCAAATATAACTAGATTAAATGTGTTCGATGTGTCGATGGCCTCACAATGATATGTTAATAAAGTATTCAGCACTTAATGGTGAATGGGTATTAGAACTGCTATCCCAACTAATTTGCAGTTTTTGTTTTCTTCTATATGTGTTGAGTTAGATCCACAGGCCTTAGTCTAAATGTCACAATACTTTTGAGGGACTTTTTAATAATTGGAAATATTGGTACTTTAGTCTTGTACTGCATATATACTCAGTTCGGTTGCACTCTCTCTACCCACAGCACTGATTCCTGGTGAAAAGTGTTCACCTGTGGCCTTGCGTCTAGCAGAGCCGTGAAGCAGAGCAGACCTAGGATGTCTGGCCGCCGCTTTGGCTATGATCTTTCGATTTGGAGAACGAGTTTGGAGGGCTGACACCTTATTCTGGTCAGCCCTCCTCATGCCTACTAGCAAAGAGGAGAGACAAAATTATACCATCATGCAAACCTCAATTAAATATACAACAGAGGCAAATCTATGTTTAACATCAAGTCATAAAAGTGACACTACATGTGAGTTTGCTAAATACAAATGTACTGTACAGTGCATTGATAAAAAATCAACTACATAATTTGTTTTAAGCTAAACAACAGCTCTTGAATACAGAACTGAAACCTTTTTTCTTCTTCATTGTCTCTGTAGGGTGGTGGCTGGGTACTTTGCGAGACACTTTACTCTCAGTGATGCCAGGGTGGCCCCTTCCCCTGCAGAGAGCCCGTTTAGCGGGTCTGTCCACCACCACAGGTGTACTGGTAGGACTCTGGATGTGAGGAAGGACTTCGATTTGCTCAGTCATGATACTTTTGTCATCTGCAGTGGAGAAGGATCAGAAGAGGACTAATTCTCCACACTCCTAGCTACAACATAGCTTAATACACAAGACATTTATTTAGCTTTGAAGTTAGAGACACTCATTCCTCTGAGAGACTTTTAAATTTTACTAGCCAACATTTTAACAATAATTAATGTTGCCATATCTGTATGGGTGATGCTTTGAGTTCAATGAGTAGCATGTATTTTGTCTTGGTATTTATGTAAACTGATGTAAACTGTTCATGGTGCTCTCTTGAAAAAGAGCTTTATCTCAACATGACTCCCTGATTAATTTATCAGTTAAGTTTAACTAATTAAATGACTAACAAACTTTCTGGTGCTAGCTAGTTTTTGATCTTTAAAAAAAGCTACATTAGTATACATTAGATGCCTTAAACAATTATTCTGTAAGCTCAGTGTACCTTGTGAGTCCATCCAGCCACTGTCTGTATCTAGGATGGAGACGTCCATGGTGGTCTCATCGTTAGCTGACCGACTGGTCTGGCAGAGCATATCAGAGACCTCTTCCACGTCCTGAACAACCACATCCTGAACAACCTCAGTGTATTTATCCTCTGTCCTCTCCTCCCCCTCATCCTTTTCTTCCATTGCTTTCTCTTCTTTTTCTTCATGTACCTTACCAGAACCCTCTTCCCCCTCTCCTATTTGGTCTTTCTTTACACCCTCACACCCCTCTTTCTTTCCTTCTGTTCGGTTTATTTGTGGGTTTTCTGTTAATTTATCATCTACCATCCCTTCATCTCTGCCTCCTTCCTCTGTTGGCTGTGATAGGTCATTGTCAGAGCAGGGAGACAAGTGTGAACTGTCTGTTTCAGGCTCCCCATTGTCACTGTATAGGGCACTATGACTCCATTCCTCTGCTCCAGACTTGGGATCTTCTTCTAACATCTGATCACCTATCATCAGCCTCACCTCCTCTTTTTTTTGCTCTTCCTTTCCAACTTCAGCTTGATCTGTCTTGGAGAAAAAAAGCTCCTCAGCTTTCTCCATGATCTCTTGAGGCTCTTCAGCAAACTCAATATCATCCTCATCTTCTGCTTCTTCCTCTATTTGTGCTTGAGGTATGATGATTACTGGGGAGGATATTTGTGGCTTTGGTGACCCTTTTTCCAGTGTCACCTCCTGTAACTGAATCTGATCATCTTTCTCATCAGTGGGCCTTTCAGTGTTGAAATCTTGAACAGCTTTTGAGGTCTCATGCTTTTCTTGTCCTTCTATTTTTGCATGTATCCCATACTCACTTTCAATCTTCTTGTCATCTTTTTCTGTGCTCTGAGACTGAGATGATGCTGAATCTATGTCTATATCTGGCATTTCTAGTTTTTCACATACTTTTTCTGATACTTTCTCTTCAGGCACTGACATTTCTTTGTCTAACTCTGACTGTGTATTATTAATCCTCTCAGACTTTGGATCATTCTCTGTTTTGAGTGCTAGTAAGATATCTTTCCCAACATTCTCTCCAATGTTTTGGCTTTCTGAAAGTGTATTATTCAGGGACTTGGGGCTAGTAGGAGTCAGGGGAGCTTGGCTTCCAGTTTCTGTAGGAATGAAAGTAAAGGAACTGTCTGGTGGGATGGGAGAAGCCTCTCTGGATGGGTCTTTTTCAATTTCTACCTCAGGGATTGCATGAATCTTTATCTCACCCGGCAGGCCACTCAGCCTGTCCTTTGAAGAAGTCATTGGGATTCTCAGGCGATCAGGTTTTACTCCACTTGTGACAGCTTTTTCAAGAATCAGAGTACTCTTTACTGGAGGATCTTTCCTCTCAGTAACTGTTTTTTGACTTATCTCAGGTTCAATTCCTTTGTGATCTGGTTCTTGTATCCCCTTTTGAATGCATTCAGCTTCAGTGGCACCATGCTCTTCCTCTACTTCACCCTCCATGGAAGGGAAGTGCTGGTGTGGAGAATCCCCAGGACTGGGTACATCAGCAGGAGAAGGCATGGGCCCTGAGTACTCATTAAAGACACAGTATCCCAGTTCTTCCAGCTGGTTTTCCCTACCCACCACTCTCGTGGTCTGATCTCTCAAGGTGAGCTTGGACAAAGAACTTCCCACCAGAGCTGATACATCAGCGGGCACTGACTTTCGCCTCATGTGATCAACTTCTCTTCTCTCTAGTGAGGGAAGAGGCAGCGCTCCAGCCAGGTCCAACATCTCAGAGAAGCTGCTTGATTGTTCAAAAGGTCGAGGTGTTTCTGCTTTTGTGTGGATATCTTCAGGTGAATCGGTGGAATCTAGTGTGGGTTTATGGCTTTCCTCAGATGGTGTTGAAGGGGAAATCTCAGAGTCATCAAAACTTCCACTGATTGGACACAAAGCTTTTGAGAAGGTCCTTGAGTTTTTTTCATTCACTGCCTGTCCCTCTGAGGACTCAACAGTAATGTTCAAGGAGAAGCTTTGCTCTTCTAAAGACACCGTACTAGGGGATATCTTGCCTTTCTTCTCCTGGTCTTCCTCTAGGTTCTTCATAAAGCGTCCAGTTTCCCCACTTAACTTTGTCTCTGCGGCCGTGCTGAGTTCATAATAGCTTTGAGATGGTGTTGACTCCTCTCTTTGGAGTTTTGAGGATGTCTCAAAGTAACTTTCTACCCCTGGCTCATGCCCTAAAAAAATATCTGATGCTTGCTTCAACTCTGTAGCAGGTTCTGTTTCTTGTTTTGGATCAACTTCTGGAATACCAGTGAATGGCATGTCATGCAATCTAATGTCGCTGCCACATTCTTGGCCCTTGTTAGTTATTACTTCAATTGTCCCCACTTTTTCCTTGAATTCTTCCACAGGGGCTCCTGATTTGCTTGGTGAGACAATTCCATGTCTGTCTTCTGTCATAGGTTTCGAGGACTCTTCTGCCGGTGAATGCTGTTTTGCCTCTTTTGGTTTGGACTCTACAAGCAGGTGGCTCTCAGTGGCCTCTTCCTTTCTGTTTTCATTACCCTGCTCTATTATGGCGTTGTCAGAGAGATCTTTCTCTTTCAGAGAAGGAGGGGGAGGTTCAGTCAAGGCGAGTTCTGCTCCTTCAGATGTTGCTCTTTCAACAACCACCTGCTCCCCATGTGGTGACACCACCTGAGGTTCATCTTCTTTTATAGCAGACTCAGAGGGTGCCTTACTGATACGTTCTTCTGGCTGGGCTGTGAGTTTGAAGGATACTGTACAACCTTTGTGCTGAGTCATATTAGCTAATGGCTTTGCTTGCAGCATCCACAAAAGCTAGCCAATACAGTCAAGCCAAGGCCCTCTGCACATAGATACAGTAGCTCTCCATCAAGCAAAACACACACAGTGCATTTTGTGGCAGGCCACAACAGCACGTAGGGGAGGGGTCACAGCACCTAAGATAGCGTGAGGAACTGGAATGAAGGAATGAGTTGCATGATATTAGATGACAAGAAACAAATGTACACAAATATTTTGAATTCCTATTGTAATATAAGAGGATTGATCATAATTATATCATTAAAACAGATACTTTTATTTGATGCGATTATCTGTTTTTAGTACCATTACAGTTGTTAGTGCAAGTACAGGAAGGCTGTGGATGTGAATTAATCTTTATATGCATACTGTGTGAGTAAAAATGTAGAAGGTAAATTTAAAAGCTGCATATTCTTGATCCAATTAGCCTTAAAGATAGAGATGCCGATACTGTCTTGGTTCAGTGAGGGTGGATTGTAATGTCCAAAAGTGTGACTTTAATAACAATAGGAAAACAGGATTATCCTTGATATGAAATGAAAACAACACTGAAAAACGCAAAAAAAGAAGATAAAACAGACTTAAAATATATTCTAGACTGATTCAAGAAGCACCCATACAGGTGGGTGTACTCAGGAACACTTGCACACAATGTTCCAGCAAAACCCACATAAAAATATAAAGACAACTAACTCTAGCAGCACTCAAGTCTACAATGCTTGACAGTTGAGACAGTGATTTTTGCATTTGCAATGTAGCTGGCAATACAAAAGTGCAGAAATGATCAACTACAATATAGTAGTGAGAGAATGATGTCTGAGAGAGAGTATGAGAGAAAGAGAGTCAAAGTTTTCTAATGTCGCCCCACTAAAAAGCAAATGGTTATGTTTTGCACAAAAAAGCACAAAGCCAAAATGTTATGTCACATCATGTTGCCTCTTCACGGACTGAAGCAGAAGCTTAAGGATTTAAAAGCAACAAAGCTGCAGGAGGTTTGGCAGCAAAGCCTGAGTTGCATCACAATTCATAAATCAAGAGTGGATAGTCTTTGTGCCCACAGAGCACAAGAGGATCATGCAAGATGGACAGACACACATTCACTCTGTGCCCTCATACAAACTGTACACACACAACCCCATAAAACCACACACACCTTTTTGTGATGGGCTGTGCTCCCCTTGATGACTTCCTCCATTAAGGACCTCAGGTGTCTGGGCTCGCTGGAAGCCCAAAGCCTGGGGCTCTGTTAAATAATCTGTCTGCTCTAAGGGCAAATGTCCTGGCTGCTCATATGCCACTTCCTCCTGGTAAATGCTGCGCTCCTCTGGAGCCTCCTTCTCTTCCTGCTGTTGACTGACAACCTCTACTTTATCTTCTTTGAGGGAAAGGAGACGTGAATGACGGATGAAGGACAACAAAACTAGGGTTAATGGGTTACAAGACACTTTTAGCTCTGATAGTGATGCATGGGATGCAATCAGCACACCTTATTGCCTTGTCTTGATAGATAATCTTTAAAGTAACATCAATTTTAAAAAAATATTTAAAAAATAGTTCTACATCTGCATATGAACATATTTGAACCCTAAATAATCTCCTAATGCATATGCAACTAGCTTGTCTTTTTCAAAATATATCCAATTTTAATAGAACATAAATTAAAAGCATGAAAAAAATCCCTTAAGATTTTTTCTGTATCTTTTCAATAAATAAATCCAAATCATGCAATTGAACTATGATTCTACATTTTGGTAATTGCATGCCACATGAAAAAGGAAATCATAAGAACAGCTCTCTGTGAGTAAAGAGCTTAAAGCCAAACAGTGATTTTCTCTTGGAGAAAATCAAGACACAAAATTAGCAAAAGAATAACAAAGATGTTGAGAAGGGAAAGAAGACTAATGAGATGATGGGCTCCTGTGGCAGCTTATGTACTACGGCCTGAAGGGAGGAAGGATGTTTGTGTCATCTAGCTCTTGTATCCAGGGTAACATACTGGTATGTATTAGAAAACTAATATTGAACAAATATTGGTCAAATAAACCAAAGTGTGCACAGGGCAGTGTGGCACATGCTGCAGACTCCTTAAATGTGATATGACAGTCAGCTGACATGCAAAGCAACAGAAAATCCTGAGATTAAACACTAAGGGACCTGAAGAAAGAAATCCTGTCAACAATGTGTTTGGTGTCTTCTTTAAGAGATATTTTTGTCGGTCTCACCACCATTCACACCCTTATACTGAATGTGGTCTGGAGATTTTATAAGTGTGTGTAGGTGTACCTTGTGCCACGGGCCCAATCTGCTCAGCGGATGGAGAAGGGGGAGGGGAGGGAGGCAAATTGGCTGAGTCATCCACTGCGAAGGGAGAGAGGGAGAGAGAGAGAAAGACAGACAGACAGACAGACACACCGGGAAGACAAGACATGGATGGGAGGAGGAAAATGGAAAAACTAATAACTCTGCTGACCTTAACTTCGGAAGTGGCCCCGAGTTGAATCTAGAAAAATGATGGCTGTGTGTGTTTGATGAGTTGTGGTTGCAGGGCGAATCCCATCCTCCGCTGGGATTTGATATGTTGAACTGTTTGTTTATTCTCCAGTTCAGATGAATACAGACAGCACACCAACTTACTGTAGGTGTAAACATTGTCAAAAAACCCCAGGTATTCTAAAACTGAGTCAGTTACAGTAACTAAATAGTCAGATTTAACAATAAAAAAATCAAAATAAATTAATAATCATATTATTTAGATTTTATCTACTACAAAAAAGGAAGAAAGACAGGTCTCTCTAGATGTACATATAAAGTTAGTCGCTAAATAAGCAGCTTAATTCACTTCACCATTGCATCTTTCCTTTTTCCCCATTCATTTCTCCTTTGACTTCATTTTATTTTCTTCTCAATATACTCGGTTTTTCTTCTGCTCCACTACTCTTTTCACACTCTACCAATTTCTCATTCTCTTTTCTTTAAGCTCAGACTGATCACTTTGCAGACACATTAATCTGAATATTGGTATTTTGCTGTAAAACATCCTCCAGCTTTAGTTTATTAGTAAGATTTTGTAAATTTTAGCCAACGACATTATTGTAATTTTGCTTGGAGATTTTCTGATCTGAATCCAACATATTGCAATGTGCAAAACACTTAAGACACTGCTACAGCAAACTGATGTTCAGTAGTTATTCAAAGGTGAAAAGCCTTGACCTGTTCAAGTGGGTTTTGGAGTCTGACTGTGCTTGTCTGGCACTGTGGAACCAATCACATTTACCCCCAGTAATTTGGCAGTGTGTTTAGGCAGTCCAATCTATGTTTCTGACCTCGTGCTACATGGACATACTTCCAAACACACTGACAAGCACACCATGTCCATGTTTCTACCTGTTGTCCCAGGATGTGCAGCTGCCCCACCATGGTATCCATTCTCCCTGTAGCCAGAGCTGTAGGCGGTGTAGCCGTTCTCACCATTCTCTTGACCGTGGGAAGCCCAGTGGTCATCTGGCTGCTGACTGTCTGCCATGCCTGCCTGCTGGGAACCTGGGAAGGGGATGGGTCACCTGTTGGAGAAGGTGAAAAGAAGAGGAGATATGTATGAGATATCAAAAACCAGAGGCTGAAGAGGAAAGAGAACAGCAATTGAGATGAAAGATAAAAGGAGAGATAAATCAAAGTCCTCCGAGGGACCTCAAAGAGGTTAACTGTGAAGTTTACAGATCAGCCACCAGAGGGAGTAGGGTGCCACCCTGATCCTCTACCAGCTCACTCAGCTGGTCTTTGTCTCAGAATCTGTATTCTGAGACAGGAGGGACAGACTGACCAAATATCTATATCTAACTGATCATATTTCATTGTTTTACACTTTTATAGTGCATATGACTCTGACACACAGGCAGTGCTTGTGTTTTTTAAGCTAAGCAAGAGGATGGAATCACCACCTGCCAGGGTTTGAGAATCAGTACACAAAATTCAACAATGAACAATTTAGGAAAATGCATTTGAAATAAAATTTTATTCCCAAATATGTGATACCCCAAAGACAAAGCTGTTACACTTGTCCTGCAGCAGGCAGCTTATAAGATGCTTTTAAAAAAAGGTATGTGAACACACCCTTCATATCCCCTCACTCCCGATAAGGAGGCTGTTACCGTGGCAACTAGAACAGGTATTAAGGTAGTACGGGGTTCCAGCAGATGGGTTCAACCAGTTTGTCCCATTCAAACTAAAACTGCTCCACACACACACAAACACCTATTAGTTTCTAGTGCCCACATTATATTGCGCCAACCTCTTAATTTCAGTAACAAAAGGTTTGTCCCCAACAAGTATGTAATGTTAAGTTATCTACATTCTCATCATACATGCACCCTCATAAAAGCAGCCCTTTTCCTTTTAGAGGAAACACATAATGTTGCTTTTTAAACAAGATTAGCAGCGGGCCCTTCCTTGCCTGTCAGCCTAGCTAAATTGCATCATCATCAAGCGGCTGCAATGAATTTCATCATAACAAATCATGACTGAGACTCCTTTCTTTTTCCTCCCTTCATATCATTTCTCATCTTCCTTTCTTCTAATCCATTCAGCATTTCCACTCTTCATGCTAAGCTAAGCTAACTAATAGCTGGCTCTATTTACAAACTTTGTGAACAGATGTGAGTGGTTTAAATCCTCACATCTGTCTCTGACTTCCTGTTTCTTTCAACCTATTCCTCTCTCTGTCTCCCTGCTCTCCTTCCCTGCAGTGCTGCTTGATGACAGGGATCGGGGCTTTTGTCTGCTGCAGTGGGAATAAGTGAGGGTCAGAGGAAAGAAGAAAAAAAGACAAAGAGAAGAAGCAAGAGGAAAAGGAGGAGAAAGACATCCTGATATTCTTTGATGCTGGGCCAAACTGTCTGAGACTTAAATTCTCAGCACTGGGTGCTCAGGCAGAGGAGAGTCAACTCAGCTGTTGCTGAGGAAGAAAAGTGGTGCACTGACAATCAGGCTGTACTGATGGTGGTTTAGACCTGCACTGACCTGCTTTCAGCTGCTGTTTTGGCAACATTATACCACACCTGGCATTCATACATTGCCACTAATTTGTCATTATACTGACAAATGTTTCTACTATTTTGTCTACCCCATTTAGGGTTTAATGAGGCGACTATCCTTTCTATCAAATCCAATACCTAATACTAATAATATTTCCAGAAAGGCTAGAAACCCAGCAGTGAGCACACAACTACTCAGCATGTGAACCTTTCGTGTGGTCTAATCTCCTCAGGGTCACATTAACAGCACTAGGAGTCAGAAAAGGACTGTCGAAGCCATCATGTCCTGGGATTGATAACCTGCCAGCATGGTCTCTTACAGAGAAGAAGAGAGGGGGTGGCAACAGGTCTGAGGCTTGTTTGACTTCCACTGGGCTTCTTTCTATTTTGTCTTTCATTGTCATCTCATGAACCCTGCTTCACTTAGTTTATCCTTTCAGCCCCAGCATCCCTCTCTTTTATCGACTCCACCCCACCCCACCATTAATCCGATCTCACTTCCCTCTCTGTCTGCGCCTTACTACCCCCACCAACCTCACCCCAATCTGGGTCAGTCGTCACGCCTCCGTGGAGCACTGCTCTCAGTGGAATGTCACCATCCATTTAGGAGGGAGGATGGAATCTCAGGAAGCCAGCGGCAGTAGGCCAACCTGGCCTTAATCCCCTGTGTGAGCGGCTGAGTGTGTGCATCTGAGACATTTTAGGAATGTGTTTCTACACTATAATCATTGATGGGATGGATAATTGTATAGTTGTATAATGTAGTCAACATTATAGCAATGCTGGTAATACATTATTTAAGTTGTTTGGAGCTCATCTTTCTCTCCTAGTCTTAATAACCTTCCATTAATTCAAAATGAAAAGCTTTTGTCTCTTCTGCCCTCCATTCACAAGGTTTTGACTTGGCAGATGTGCAAGAATATTTTATGAAAATCTGACCAGCCATTTAAGGGGATTTCCTGGAAAATAAGCAGTTTTGATGCAACAAGAATGTTGCCGTTTTGTTTTTCCATAACAAATCAACGCATCTGCCAATATCATCCAAAATAAGGCAATAACACAATAAGAAGTGGACTAAACATGATTTATCTTAACTTGAATGATGTCACAGTTGGCCAGCTTGTGTCAAATATTAACTGCTTTACTGAAGGACCTTTTAGACATGAAATGTTGTGCTGAAATGATTATTTTCTCCATTGACTAGTCAGTCAACAAAACTAGCAAAGATTTTGATAATCATTTCATAGTTTTATGCCAAAGTGCAGAAAATGTTCCTGGCTCCAGAGTCAACATGTAAATAAATTCAGATGTTGGAACACAGTGCGGAGTGTCTGTTTAGCAGCACATAAATGGGAATATGGATTTAAAAAAAAGTCCAAGTGTTATCAAAGTTATACATTATTTAAAACAATATTAAAGTCCAAGCAAATGCAATCACTATATAGAACAGGGGTTTTCAAATAAATGTGACCCTGCGATCACCATTCTGACTAAGAAGTAAACTAAGGACCACTGTTGTGGGGAGGATAGACTGGATGTGCACCATTTTAATCCTGAAATTCACCTGCAATGACTTTGCAGGCCACCAGTGGGCTTCAGACCACTGGTTTAAAACCCATGATATAGTACATGACAGTGGATGTCAGGAGCCCTGAGGAGGACCGTAAGACAGTCAAGACTGCTGTGACAGTAATCAACACAGAGACCAGCAGCAACAGACATGTAATTATGTTTTGTTGACTCAGCAAGATATAGGGGAGTAATAATGAGTGCTGCCAGGGACATGTGAGTGCACTGTGTACTGTATATAGTAGACACCAGCATGACAAGAAAAGCACACACACAAAAAAAACACAGTCCCATTAAGAGGAAGCACAGGGCTGAATTCACTCCTTACAGATTAAGTGCCATAATACAGGTAGTATAGGTGCACTAAGATTATAGAAGTCTATCAAAACTGAATCACATTATATGAAAGAAGTGCAGCATTTCTAACAAGGCTTTATTATTTCTCAAACCTTATGCTTGTTGGAAGTGAAACAAACATGAATAAAAGTTTGTAACTTAAATGTTTGTGTGTTCATTTTCATCAGGATCAAACAGGTGGCAATTAAAAGGGACATTCTGTTTAAAGAAACATGCCCTGCCATATTAATTTGCTTTAGCAAAACATACTATGCCTAGTCACTGTATAATCCTCAAACCTCACTGAGCAGTTTTCATGGGACTACATTCTTAAGAACACCCTATGCAAGCTGCAGCAACGAGGGCAGTGTTTCTAGAAGGAAATGCAGTATCTTACTGGGTGTATTTAGGAAATTCACTTCAGCAGATGCTGCAGGCACTGACCATAAGATGATTTCTCTAACTGCCCTGCCATTATGATGCTGCATTGAGCCACAGCCATTCAGCTGTCAGCAAAAAAACAATGTTACTCTAGGCTGTTTTCTTATTTTCAGTTCACGTAATACACAAGCACACCGGCAGCGGTTTATGGTAATGTAGTCATATTAACTTAATTTAATTTCCCTTCACTAGAACAAAATAAAACATGATTAAAAATAGAAAATGACAATAAAACATCACTAAATCTGGTTTCAATTATGAAACTAATTGAGGTTATGAAACCAATTGAAACAAATGTTGCTAATAAATGTTATCTATTTAACAAAAAACAATTATACATTTTACCCAATCATGCTTTGAGTTCTTGGCTCCCTGTTGATGATTTGGTGTTTGCACTGTGGTATATTGTGATATATTAAGTACAACATTTAGCATGTTTTTTGTTTTTAGAGTTTTTAGAGTAAACCAATGCTCCCCCTTCAAGACAATTTGAGCTAAGTCAAGCTGACTGCTACATCCTAACTCAGACGTATTCCCTCCTCTCACTGCCCTCTTTCTCTTTACTTTCAGACGGCAATCTCATGAGATGTTTATTATATCCACCCCACCCTGATGTCACTGTTCCCATGGTGATACCCAGGGTGATACCCAGGGTGGGAGGGGCTTGTGGTGGTCAGGAGAGGATGCTGGCTGGAGACAGCAGACTTTGACCATGTTATGGATCCTGAAATAGGTTGCCAGATCCTGCAGGCACAGCCCCAGGGGTCCTTCCTAGGTGCACTAAGACAAAAGGGAGCCGAGCCATTTAGATTTATCAGTACACTGATAACAGGCTGCTGGTTGGGCTGTTGATGTAATTTTAGGCATTTTAGTGCTGGTACTGATAGGGGTGGTATCTTAACATAACAATGTCCTGTTTGTGTGGAACATATAGACAAAACTGTTGCAAACAAGATGACTTTCATTACAAAACTATATCAAAACAACTGATTCAGACAGTGAGACAGAAAACTGCAAGAACTTGCAGACACTAAGAAAACACATTTTTGTGTAGCCGAACTATATTGTTGTTCATTCTTACTCTATTATTCATTCAAACACTTATGCAGAAAAATATACTGTTTTTCTTTGAAATTTCTTTAATCATCTTGTGGCTCATCAGATTTTGTCTTCTGACTTCTTGGAGGGGTCCTGACCTGTAATTTGGGAACAACTGAAATAATCAGTAGACCTATTGAGTCATATAAAAAAGTCTCTTTGGATCATCTCCTATTAGTATAATGCAAGGATATTATTAAGCAACAACTTAGAAAATCAATCATTTTTCAGGCCATTTTTAAACAAAAGGACCAAAAATTTGATGGCTCTAGTTCCTCAGCCCTTTACTGCTTTCTTTTCTTTTTTCACATCATGATAAACTGAATTTGTGCATGGTGGTCCTACAAAAAGGTCATCTGAAGACACCACCTTGGGATCTTGGCATTTCTCACTGTCTGATATCTGAGAGATCACATACATAACTGAGAAATCAAATAAATAATCTGCAGTTTAATCAATAATGCAGTCCTACAATGCACACATTGCATTTAACATCTTTCCAGGAAAAATGATTTCCTTTTTATTTCTCAGGCAACAGTAATAATCATTAGCTGTAAATGGGAAGAAATTTGTAGCCAGTCAATCAATTGATTAGTCACTGTTAGATCTTTCTCAAGGTGGCAACTGTTTCTCTACAAAACACCTTTTTTCACCCTTCACCCCCCTGGCCATCTTGCATTTTCACACATCCATCCTGGCTGACAAGATTATGAGGACTGTCTACAGTTTATCATCTCCCAGCCCACATCCTGCACCCTCATGCTCATACACATCTACACACACCCCTCAGTTAAATCAACCGACACATACACAAAAAACCCACAACTGAGGGCCCCAAATGCATCCGCAAACCCAGAGCTCTCTGGCTGGGAGCAAAACACATTGTTAACATTAGCTAAATATAGACCCATACACAAACAGAAGACTGTACTAAAACAGCATTTTCCACCAAATCTATATTTATCCACTTGCTCTATCATGTCATTTTCTGTCATGTAACCCAAACACATTTAAGCAGTGAAAGCTCATAACATCAGATTTGAATTTCAACTTAATGACTGCTTCTGGTGGTCAAAAATATCTTACATGACACCAACCCAAACAATCGCCCCTTCTCCTTTCCCACATGTTGCTGAGTATAATTCCTCCTCTATTATACATCCATGAACAGCCAAGCTAATCATCTGGCTGAGTGCAGTCACTTAGATCTGACACCCGGGGCCCCATGAGTCATGGGAAAAGTGAGTGAAAAATGTCATGGAGAGGATATGAGTAGGAGTAGTGTATAGTGTAGAGTCTGGCAGCAAGCCAGATGTCTATGGTTTTGCTCTTTGTTTAAGTTATTTAGCTGTGAGAGGAACCACTGCGCTTTAAAAGATGTATTAAAGCAGAAGGATATAAAAAATGCAACCGGCTTATTTACTTTTATAATGGTTTTTCTCTGTTTAACTAACTCTGCGTTCATGTTAGCTTGAAAGCCTGACTTATAGGGTGGGCCAAGGAAAAACAGCCCGTGTACTTGAGAGCGTGGCACTGGTATAGGAGGCGGTATTGGCGCAGGCTACTTTTCTGTGGCCAACCCTGTATAAAATCACTTTAGAAAACTATGTGTTTGTGTGCACATGCATCTATCTGTGCTTGTGTGATTGAGTACATGCGTCGAAACAAGTAAGACCCATTAATGTTACAGTATGTTAGCACTGACATTGTAGAGTATGGTTACGTTTTTTTGGTAGCATACCTGACTTGAAACGCTTTCTTCACTGAAGGATGAAATAGATGAGTGCCGAGCTGAAGTGTCTGCTCAGACCTGCATGAAGGATGGAAGAAACAGAGAGGGAACAGGTTAGGACACTAAAAGTGAGTCCTCACTCTCAATCAACACTTCTTCCTAAAAGAGTTGTATGACAACAAACCTTAGCCCATTTAATTCACCAGAGGCTTTATGTTCTGACCTCTGAATCCTGCCTATCCCATCCAGACTCAAATGAAGGGCTTTATTATGTGACAGCTTTCATTTCAGCCTTGAGTTCAACACAACTGTGCATGAGGCATGCATGTACACAGCAGCTTAGCTCTGTCACCTGGAGTCTGCCAGCAACATCAATCCAAACCAGAGCGGGTCACTTTTAAGATGCTGTTGATGGGCTGCACACCACAGCAAAGCCACAGACAATGTCATTCATTCACAGGTGTGTGCATGTGTACAAAGAAAGTCATAGTAAAGATGGCATAATATGCAAGTGATGGAAATTTTATTTTAAAAACACAGAAGGCTCATGTCTTTCCAGGATTTGATTTAGTGGAATACAGAAAAGCACTACACCAAACATGTTCAGAAGCCTCACTGATCCTTCTACTGCACAGACACTGATACAAACCTTAAACAAAGAAAAGCTAAAAAATATTAAAAGTGAAAAGCCAAGTCAATGAATGTGACTGTGGACAGTGTGAGAGGAAAAAAGAGAAACAGAGGTTGCTAGGATAGTTTCTAAGGCAACTGCAGGGATGATAATCATCTAAAAAGTGATTATTCTTCATAAAGAAGTGATTACAAGTGAACATGTTCTCTCTGTGCCAACCAGACTGTTTCCAGTAGTGACCTGTTTTTAAGATTTGTGAAATACTTGGATGGAACCATTGGGGCTGAGCCTGGAGATGAGTTTAGGCTTATGCTAGCCATGAAGAAAGACACATTTCTATGTTTATTCTGCTTTGGAATTGTAAGGAGGTAAAACACCGAGACTCCTGTTAACATTTAAAAGTGTGAAAAAGACTGCTGAGGGAGTTGTGGCACCACAACGGGCAGTTGGACAGAAAAAGAAAGAGAGGACGGAGTAGCGGGGCACCACAAAAGTGGAGCAGAGACTCTCCAAACAGGAAGGAGGTTGATTTATTAGAGAAGAGAGAAAGAGGGACATGGAGTGAAAAACAGAGGGAAAGACAATTCACAGAGCTGGAGAGACAAGTATATATTTTTTGATTTATTGCAACTTAGTTCTCATTTCTACTGGTTACAACAAAGTCTGACAAAAAATAAATTGGGTAATCATTCTACTAATCATTCTAATTGAAACTTTGTTTTTTAAACTCGTTTGATCGATATTAAGAAAGGACCATTTGACATTTTTAGCAATGTCACAGTGTGCAACAGAGGACTGATAGTAGTTCTGAGAGAGTAACAAATCACAGGAAAAACCAACATAAGCAAAGACAGGATTAATAAAAGCATGTATGTTTCTCAAAACACTTACACTGTTACATGTTTTCCTCTAATTTTTATCTGTGTGCATAGAGCGAGGAGACAAAAGGACACCACTTTTTAAGGGAAGCTACTTAATAATATGGAAAGAAAGAAAAACAAAGAGTCAGGCAGTTGCGAGGGAAGAAAACAATGAGGAGAGAGAGAAAGGAAAAAAGGAAACTAAGGTTTCACAGAGGTCATGTTTTTTCTCGGGGATGGCTGCATAGAAAAAGAAAGGGATGAGGAGAGCAAGACAGAGATGTGTAGTTAGTGCCCAGCTCCTAAACATCAGGAACATGACAGGAATAGAAGCATTGTACTTAAAACCACATGTTCTCAATATACAGCCATTAGTCTCCCTCAGCAAAAATCAGTTTTTCAAAAGCACAGCCATGTTTTCAGTCTGACTGAAGGAGCTCGTAACAAGTTCAATCATAACATGAACTTTTGATTTCTGCAGGGTGAAACCAATTAATAAACTAAAAGAATCACACTGAAATTAGGGAAATAAAAACAAATTAATGAGGGAATTTCTGAAAAAAGTGTCTGTTTTTATATCTTCATCTATGAAAAGCACTTTCTCATTTCTACAGCTGTTCTTAACATGACGTATCTGAAGGGCAGTTTATTTCTTCTCCAAACTCATTAATTGCAACTTTTACAGGATGTAAGGATCAAAATTTGACATCTCTACAATCGTATCAGTCACCCCAGATGACCACCACCGTCAGCACTTGCTGGTTGGTTTGATGGGTTTGGCAAACTCAGCACATGGAGTTGAACAAACAATTCCACTTAAATCCCTGGAAAGGAGGAACACAGTTGACATTCTTCTTGACCCGGATGTTCCAAGTCAAATGGACCAATAGAAGGTGAAGATAGAAGAGATGGAGGAAGGGAAGAGTCCAGGATAGAGGAGGGAGGTCAGCAGCTGACCTAATCCACAGATTTGCCTTCAACATCAGAGATGAGGCAAATGGGAAATGAATTCCAATCTCAACAATATGCTAAAACAGATGATAAACCTTGCTGGACTTGACTGAAATAAGCTGACAGCAGAGATCATGGAGGGATTTCACTGAACACTGAACAATCTGCTTTACTGCCAATCTGTTAATCCTGCCTTATCAGTTGAACATTGCTCTTCCTGCAGGACCTTAATTATAAAAAACTCAAGTCCATACTCAAGCATACACAGAATTTAGGATGCATAAAACAATGATTAAAAATTATGCAAGTGTAGGTCAGTTCATACAATTCTGACTGAAATGAGGATTATCTGAAGGTTTTAAGGTATGCTAGTATCTCTGCTGCATCGCTGTATACCCAGCGCACACCAACTGAAAACACACTGACCTAATGAGCATGATTGAATGGTCACATTTAGACTAGGATTTCCTTCATGTTTCACCTCCATGGTTTGGCCCTGCTGCTGTGGAAACAAATCAAAATGCACCGGAGGAACACTTAGCCCACAGAAAGTTCTTGGATTAGTGAAGGGCCCTTTCTGCCCCGTCCTAATTTAGCAATATCACTGTACTTCAAATCACTTGGGTTCTTAAGGAGAGTCTTAATTGAAAGCAGTGCCCATTTTTAAAAACCCACACACTGAAAATTACTGAAATAAAGACGATAAATGTACACAGTATGAAGTGCGGTGTGATGGTAACAAGGTGGTTTGTTTTGACTGTACTTGTGGTGTGTGTTGGGGGTGCTCTGGTCCAACCTGGGGATCCAGCTAATAAATGTAGCCAAGTCCCTTCTCTAAAACCTCTGCTTCCTCCCTTTTAACTTGGCAGCTGCCCCATTTTCTCTTGTATAATTCACACAGACAGCCGCCTTCTCCCAACAAACAAACACACACTCCCCCAGGCCAGCACATCCCTTCATACAACAGACACACATGCATGTTTAATAGATCAAAGAAGAGACATTATCCTCAAAGTGGGGATATTCACAGGTCTAGATCATGTCCAGATATTATAATAATGCCCACAGGAACATTTCAAAATAAACAATATTTGTAAAATGGAGGCGACAGTGGTGCGGTGGGTAGAGCAGTTGTCTCCCAACCAGAAGATTCAAGTCTCAGTGCCGGCAGTCCACGTGTCGAAGTGTCCTTGAGCAAGACACTGAACCCCCCCCATTGCTCGTGATGGCGGCGCGTATGCACGCAGTGGCCCAGGGCCCTGCTCTGCAGGGGGCCTCTGTGTAATCAGTGCACTTTTACAGGTGCAAGGACGGAGGGAGAAAGGAGGCTGCTTTCTACACCCCCACACTTTTTGCAGAGTACAGAGAGGGTCTGTGTGGCTAATTAGGCAAATTCTGCTGGGAAAGAGGCTCATTAATTAATCTACAGGAAGACGAGATGAGCATGAGGCCACAGACTAACAGCCAAACAACAAATATGCCTGCAGCAGGAGTTTGAAGAGGGAGGGAGCAGTCTAATGAGTGACAGCCCAAAACAGACCTTTGACAGCTTTATAAACACACGTCTCATACTGTAGATTAAAAACCAAGCATGCTCTCTGCACTTCACATAATCTACAAGTTTAAACACGTGAGCAGCAGTTTCTCTTGCTGTGTTATGCAAACCATGCAGGACCAGGTGCAGGTCTTCATGCTCCCCAGGCGACAGCTGCACTTAGGAGTGAAGACAGGTGACAGAACTGGTCTATATTCATATATATGTAGCCTTTTAGTGCCTCAGAGCATTACACACACACAATCAACATGTGAGGACAAGGCAGTCTAAACTGGGGCCCGGAGGTTATGATTGTACTACTCTGGAAAACTTTCACTGTGAGGAATGCCTTAATGTCTTAATGTATCGGCCCTTCAAGGTATTTTCCATTTTGCAGCATCATCATAAATTCCTCAGTGACACAGCATACAAGCCTGTATAACAGCTTCACTAACTTTGCTGCAGTCCAGCCTCAAATACTGTTTTATTAAGCTGCATCTATTTCTGTGGCTCACCTCATCTTTGTCAGTTATTCCACTTCCAGCTTCATTGCCATCAAGTATCACTTTTCAACAGACACTTAGGGGTATTCTGTCAAAGTGTGGGGCAGACTCGACTGCAATTTCTCCTACATGCCGTCTCTGAAGAGCACAACTATCAAAAATTCATCTCAGCACACACACACACACACACACGCACACACGCACACACACACACCAGTATGATAGCAGGTTGTTGTTCACAGACAGTGGTGGAAGTACTGAATGAATAAAAAGATTAATCATAGGAATCTATGTATTTTAGGGAAACATACTGTATACTGTATCTACATAAATATTACACCATCTCTTTTAAAAATGCAAATTCAAAAACACATTAAACTTGCATGACAGCAATTTTATGCTGCACTTGCATAAAGTTTAGTCTTAGAAACAGGCCTACATTTTCTAAATATTAGTCCCTAGTCAAGTTCCAAAAGCAATGAATAACACTAATGCATTAGGATTAAAACAACCACATTTCCTATCTTTGTTTTTGATTTGTTTCTGACTGACAGTTGGGAAAGTGAAGGAGGAAAAGCCTTCAGAACAATGGCCCTCTCTCTCCCACTTGGCATCTCTCTAACACCTACATTACTGTATATTATCTTCATTATATTTCAAATGCTTTGATGACTAACAGCAGTTGGAACCAAAGGCAGCATTGACTCCAAAACAATGTTCATCTCTCCCACAGTTGCTTAGCCGAGTGCCACAGAAGACTCCATGCCAAATAATGACCTCGCTCCGAGGGTATGAGCTTGGCAGAGCTGGAAGGATGCAGAAAAAGCAGGAGATGAGGAAGTGAAGGATGAAGGGGGGACAGCTTGTGACCCCAAAAAAGGAGGCCTAGGAGAGGATATGTTTGCCCCCGTCCTCCCCCATGTCACTGCATGTCATCCCAAGTTGGTTCACCGGAAAAGACAGCTTGCCTGAGAGCTGGCCAGCCAAAGATACAATCACATACACAGCAGACTGCCAGAAATAATTGGGAGGCAGAGAGTAAAGGACAATGTGTTATTAAAGGACATTTGTGGCCTGGGGAGACAGAAAATGGAAGAGTGTTAGGCAGAAAGAGAAAGAAAAAAGGGGGACACAGTGAATGGGACAAACATGAGATATCAGAACAGACAAAGACAGGGGTGATAAACTAGAAAAGGAAAAGAAATGGTAGGAAAAGAGGGATAAAGACAGGGAGTGAGAGTTGCCAACTCAAGACCCCATCGCCCCCTGCTCACATCTAAACACTGCCCATCAGCTAGTTGTCAGCAAACCTGTGATGGCCAGCTCTGCCAACGCTGACAGGCAGTGGGATATGTCCTGCTGTCTTTGTGGTGCCACTCCCACAAAGAAACCACCAACAGTCTGTTGGCTAATCGATAACTACCAACGGCCACATGCCATCACAGTCTCAGTCTCAATTTATCACAATCTGGACATGTTTTCCCCCAAAGACAAAAATAAATGGCTAGAAACCAACATAAATATAATATCCTTAGTAACAAGAATCTGTGCCAACAAAGGAATGCAGCGTCATTGATAAGGGAAAATGAAACACTTCACCCCAAGTTTCTGTCAACAAAAGAGGGATACACTTTTGATGTTCCTTTTTGGGCTATTAACAATTTTAATATATTCCTAGTATTCACTGCTAAAAAAGCTGATGCATTATCTCCACTTCTTTGGTGGTGATTTTTCAAGGAATAAATGAGCTGCATGAAAATATTCCAAGACTTGCATCTCAAAGGAAAAATGTCTTACCTGGTGGGGTGTGGGACAGTTAGAGCTTTATATCTGCAAAGAGCACAAGGTGGGGTCAACAAGGAGGCAGCTTCTGTAGAGAGAGAAAAAGACAGAAAACATAGCTGAGAGACAGAAAAAAGAATGAATGAGGGCAGCACCACGGTGAGATGGCTGATGCTTTTTCACCGGCAAGCACACTGCTACGGCTTACACACTCTCACTGGGATGCTGTCTCATGTAAGGCTAAGCTCCCCCCAACTCCACTTCACCTGCACACACTCTGCAACCATGCCAGTGTCTGCATTGCACTGGAGAGGGGTGGGGATGGGGGGATGGGAAGGTTTTGCCATGTCTGAGCACAACAAATGTGCGTGTATGCGCATGTGTGCACATCAGTCACATTAATTCATGTTTGAAAAGGGTATGAAGCTCATCCAGCCCTGAGGGACATGATAAAAGACCGTCTCTATCCCAAAAATTTCCAGCAGCCTATTTTATTCTTCTCTCTGTTTATCTCATCTGTAACATTTACAATAAGAAGGCATGAAAAATTTTAACATGACAGTGAGGGCAGCATGAATATATGTGTGTATAAAGAGGGGTGCGGGGCTTGCCACATGCTGAATAATCACTCTGTCCCGGTGCTCATTTGCAGGCATGGTCAACTGCTGCAGCAGCACTGAGGCAAATGCAGAAAGGGGGAACGAGGGGGAGAATGGAGAGAAAGAGACTGCAGAGCTCAGGCAGGCAGAGCAAAAGCATACTAGTACCAAGTACCAACTGCTGAAAGCCTACTTCTCTGCTCATTACTCTAACATCAAACTACATGAAATGAAATGTATCTATAGTCCAGAGGCTCCTGAAGGTCACTCTTTAGGTATCCATCTACTAGAAATGCTGAATGAAAAGCTGTGAGTACACTTCTGAATAACCAGACAAATGTGTTCATTAACCCATGTACTGTGTTCATGTTTACTTTACACTCGTCCCGCATCATCTTTTGGCTTTGTAACTCAACATAATCAAATTATTTTAATCTAAAACAATGTAATAATCAACAGATGTTTGCATTTGCCCTTTAACTTTGTTAGATTACATTATATAAGGGTTAAAACTGTGTTAATGAAACGCTAATATGCCTTATGTATGTTTAAAGAGTTAAAGGTTACTGGTCAACAGGGGGAATGATAACAGTGTCACATGCAGCATTTCTTTCAGTAGACATTTGGCATGTTAGTACTCTATTAACATAAATTTGAGAAATAAAAGTACAAAGCTAACCAGTATGACCACACTGATGTCAAGAGACACTCCCTAACATGATCGCCAGACCTCAGAGAGACCAGTGAGGTTGTTGTCAGGGTGAATCATAAGGATGCAGTCATATGGTTCTCAAAACCACTTATGAAAATTAGAGGAAGAGAAGGAATAGAGCAAGCCAGTCCTGTTCCTTCCATCCCACAGCACATCCTCTCCTAGCACCATCATTAGCTTGTCCTGTTTCATGGGAGCACAGAGAGCCATCAGGGAGAGACTGTAATCAAGCTGTCAGCATCAGGGACTGGATCAGGCTTAAAGAAAGTTAATGAGACATTGAAAATGGCAGGAGAGAAATAATCCTGCTGTTAAATTGAATCATGAGATAATTTTCTACTTTCACATTTGTTAAGATGGTTTTGCACTTACACTATGATGAATCAAGTGGAACAGTGCTGCTGTTGAGTTCAAGGGAAAAATGGGAGATAAGAGCTAAGGCTGGAAGAGGAAAGAGCGATGGTTGGATGGCATGTTAAGGGAGAGACTCCAAGCTCAGAGAGGTGCAGACAGTTCTGTCAACACCGGTCACCTTTAGGGAGGCCTTTCACCAGCACTGATTAGAGGCCAAGGCCTGGACCGGAGCTACTGAGCCAGCTAGCATGGCTGGTAACACCTAATCTCCCCTCAGCCTCCACTGCCAGAAAGCAGATGCTTGGCACACTAAGGCCAATCTACCACAGCCGAACAGTCAGCAGATACAGTGGCAGGCTGAACTCGCTGTCACTAGATTACACATTATTTTGTTTATTCTGTTGGAGCCGTACACATGGACAGGTAAGCAACAGACACACCCTTGTTAAACAGGTGCAAACAGGCACCTGCACTGCAAGAGTTCACTGTGTTCACATGTTGTGAGAAATGAATAGCAGGGAGACCATCTCAAATGTTCGACAATGGCATCAGTTGTCTTTTTACTGATTAACAGAGGAGTATGGCTGTTTTAAAAATGCATTTCTGTAATTTAACCATTTTACCAACTAGTAGACTATACCAAATGCCAAAGCTGGAGATAGGGCTTCTTAAATGTCACTGCATGGTTGTTATTCTTGTCCATAAATATCAAAATGAAATGTAATGTAGTCAAAGTGAGTCTGTGCCTTTATAAGATATTTAAACATGCCACTGATGGCACATTTTAAGAAACGTTTGATACTAAAAGAGCAAACAAATTCAACAATTGGTCATTTCTCCTTAAAGATCCTTTACTTTCTATAAGGCAAGAAAAAAAAAATTTGGAGAGGCAAATCCACTTTCACAGGTTGATGTGGTTTAAACATTATAAAAAGTCAACTGCCAATATGTTGACACAATGCAGTCTCCTGGATTAGAATCAGATTTCATTTGCATCAGATTTACTCGTTTTAGGTGCATATGATTGGCACATCATAGGTCACAATATAGCATCATGTCTAATCCAAAATTAAAAGGTAGGTCAGTCTGATTGCTGCGTGGAGGTGGGGGCATCTATCCACTCGTTTTCTGCTCCCCTAGCAGTGAGTGGGGCAAGCCAACTCATCAGGACTAGCCAAACTGATCATCACAGTTGTTTGACAACAAACAAAGAACATCTCTGTGAATGATGTCCTTATATTGCTCCAGTGTTCTAGTTCCAAAACCACAAAATATCCTGAGGTTTTGACCACAACTGCAAGACAGAAGCCTGTATGAATGCAATATAACCCAGTTTTAACTATTTCCTTCCTTATCTTGTACCTAACAACCCTTCATTACCATGACCATTAAAAGGAACACATAATCCTTAAAAACACAGACCTGCTGCTTTGGAAGCTGAGCACACACACGGCCTGGAATAGCATTAGCACTTCCAAGCAAACCACTGCAGCGTGAAGGATAACAAATTAAGCATCACCTGCTTCTCCAGGAAAACAAACAGATGCTGACTAATACTGCATCTCATGTATACCTGGACTTGCTGGTGTATGGTCCCATTCACAAAGCAGTCTCCTAAGCTGTTATCTCATCAGACCCAAGCTTTTTTAGAAAAGCAACATTAGCACAAGCTGGGTTTCACTGAGCGGGCAAATTTATTGCAGGTGCTTGAGTGCACAACAGTGTCATCAAACACAAGTCACATTAGATGTTTCAGTATGCTGCTGTTTTCGTATACTGTTAACAGAACTGATGTGTTTTACAAGAGAGCAGAACACTTTCCATAATGCAACTCAAATATCCTTCAACAGACCAAACCCAAACTCAAAATCCCAAACCCTGATGCCATCCCTCTGACATTATCAGTGTTATTTTCTCAGACTTGTCAAATGTGCCAGATACAGAGAAAATATTACAAAACAGTTTTTACAGGCTGAGTAGTATTTTTATGACATGAACAGATTTACATGTGTAAACATCGATGGAGCAACCCTTTAACTGATAGTAAAAATAAAAATTTCTTGTAGCTCTGCCCAAAAAGGCTTTAGTAGCAAATATCTTTTTACCCCTCTTAATATGTACCATGTTTGCATTCAATCTCTTGAACCCTGACTACTGCATCCATAAAGTAAGCCTTACAGTCACAGCTATGCTGATATGTCCACCCAGCCATGGACCTAGTAATCACTTGTCCTGGCAGACATATGTCAGTGTCTGAGGACTGGCTCACCACAGGAGCAACCTCTTTCCAGCATAAAGCTGATGTCTTTTTGGTCTGAAAAAGTAGGAAATACATCATTGTCTGCTTGTTTGGTCTTTTGCATTAAACAAAAAAGTCAATTAGAGTTAAGAGCATGGAAATTTAATTACTGAAATCCGATCTGGCTGTGTATTCAAAGGTTAGTAGACACTCATCTGTCTCAGGCCCAGTCAACCAGGACACAAGCATTTACCAGTCATATGATTTCATCTGTAATGGTTATTTACGTATGCTTATTAGGAAAAGTTATTGCCTTTGATGAGCTACATTTGATCCACTGGCTCAGAAGCAGCTTTGTCCTGCTTTATTTTTTTTTAAAACAGTGTCAAATTTGTGTGTTAAATTTAACTTTTCAACATCTCTGACAATGTCAAGGCATTTCCTTCCATTGTTGCTGAGTGAGGACCTGCTTCAGGACACTGATGTCAGAGCTCACAGGTGAGTCTGCACAGACCAGACCCAGCAGCAGATCCATCTCCCACTAAAACCTCTACCTACAGATACAACGGTCTGACTCACACCAAAGCCAAAGTCCTACACCTTGTCTAAGACCTGTGCACATGCCCCTGCTTAACCTGCTGGCCATGTCACAGTCCAAATGCCAGGATCACACTGCGTGCAGCACAACAAACCACCAGAAATCTATTTATTTCCTGTAGAGCTGAGTGGCTGGGGATACTGTGAACAGAATCGATTCTGAGCTGCACTTTCCTTTGTTCCTCTATGTGATTTCCTTCGATTAACAATGTGGTGACTGTGACCAAACTTTGTATTTCTTTCACTTATTTGTATGAGGACAAGAACAAATGGAGATAATAAATCACTTTGCTTTGGTTCAGACAGTTTTATTTAGCTCAGTTAAGATTTATGGTCAGTGACATACACACTTCAGACTTGGAAGTGCATTCTGTCTGTTGCTGGTTCAAATTCTTTAGGTGCACAAAACTATGCCTGTGAAGTAGAAGCACTACTCTTAGTAAATTCACCTGTCTGCAAGAGAGCTGTTGCTACTGATTGTTTCTGTGCATTTTGCTTAAGCAGCACAATGTGGCTGAACTATGCATCCATCCATTATCAATACCGCTTATTCCTGAAATAGGGTCGCGAGGGGGAGCTAGAACCAA